GCTGTAGCGCCCACTGGACACAGCGGCCGGCCAGGTATCACCCGGACCCGCCTCCCTCTGAAGCCGGGCCCCCAGCCTGGGCTTCTAACCCTCTGGGCACCTCTGACCCACCTTCCCGGCCGGCTAACCCTTCTGTGGGCTGTGGACAAGGAGGCCACAGCCCCCACCTGCCCACCAAGCTACATAGAGATGGTGTTGGTGCTTCTGAGCTGAGCTGTCGTGCGCTGGCTGCGGTCACTCATGGTGAGCTGCCCTGAAGCTGTCTCCCTGGCAGGGGCTCCCGCTGCTCCCCTTACCTGCTCTCCTCTCCAGGACGGGTGGGGAACAGCCTGAGACTTCCTGGCCTGAGACAGTATGGGAGGGGTCCCTCTGGGGACAGCAGGACCCCCCACTCCACTCGGGGAGCCCCACAGGCTACCAGTCTAGCCAAGAGCCAGGCTGCTTGCTGAGCTGAGAAACTGGCAGAGCTGGGGGCCAGACTCCCTGAACTGCCATCTTGAGGCGAGGTCAGCTGCACAGCCACTAGGAGGGCCCAGAGGACCACCTGGTCAGGGCCTGGCCCCCCTGACCCCAGCCCCTGCCCACAGACCCACAAACTCGCCCAGGGCCATGCAGGCCAAGCCACAGCCACCAGACTCCCCGGTGAGGGCCTATTCTGTTGCAGTAGCTTGGCCATCGGGGTATCAGCCTGCCCTCCTACCTAGGGGAGCCCCATGGCGGACGGCAGCAGCGGTTCCCATGGGGCCCCTAAACCCTTCTGCAGGGAGGCCAGGGCCCAGGGAGTCCTAGTGCATTCACCTGGGACCTCTCGGGGTGAACCAGCTGGGGGTCGAGTTGAGTCCCAGCTCCCCCAGGCAATCAGTTGTTGTTGTTGGGCCTGACCAGCTTGGCCAAGGGGCAACAGCGAGCTGTGGGAGCCCTGGCGTTGGGAGCTTGGCCCAGGGTGGGGGGACCGGGGGCCCCACCCATAGCTGCCCCCCTAGCAAACCCTAGGAGGGCTCAAAGCCAGAGGCTGGAGGGCAGGAAGGCTGGGCTGAGGAGGGCTTCCTGGGGAGGAAGCGGGAAGGGCGCACAAGCATGGGCGCGAGCGTGCTGGTCCGCGGGAAGGGGTGCCTCGCAGAGCAAAGCTTGGGGACCAAGGCACATGCCGAGGACGAGGTGGGGACTGGGCTGGGGGGATGGAGGCTCACCGGAAGGGGTGGGAGGGACTGCAGGTGCTGGGTCAGGGCCTGGCCTGCTTAGCAACAGGGAACCCAGCGAGGCGGGCAGAGCAGGCAGTGCTGGCCGGGCCTGTGGGCGTCTGGCATCGCAGGTCTCAGCCTCGGCCAGAGGGCCTACCACCTCGGGGTCGATGCCCGTGGTGACGAGAGGACAGCCCTCCCGTGCCCACTCCCACTGCCAGCCCCGGTCTGTGGCACGCCCACTGGGAGCACCGGCAGGGCGAGGGCACGCCCACCAGAGCACCCGCAGGGCGAGGGCGGCGTGCGCCTGGCGGGACCTGGGACGGGGAGCGTGGGGCGGCTGCGCTCCGTTTCCTCCCGCAGCAGCGTTCTGTCGGCCGCCAAGCAGAATCGACGGGTGTCGCCTCACCAACCAGAGTTGGTTCGGGAACAGGAAAGGGCGTCATGGGGTGAGTGCGGGCCAGGCGAGCAGGCGGAACAGGAGAGGCGAAGTCCCTGCGGAGGGCGTGGAAGTCAGGGCTGGGCCCTGTTGTAACGCTCGTTCTTGCGGGGGGAGGGGGGGGCTCTCACACCCATGGAGGGGACTCCCATCTGCAGGGTGGTTTCTCCGAGCAGGTGAAGAGGGCGGGCCAGAGCCTGTGGTGCTTGAGCCCGTCACCAGGAACTGGGGAGGAGGAGGTTGGCTGGGGCTGCGGGTGCCTGAAGCGCTTACGTTCGTAGCAGTCCCTTTCCAGTGTCTGGGCTCTGCCATCATGGTAGAAACTAGGGTTTTGGATAGGGCCTTCATTGGCTGGACCGAAAGGAGGAACTTTAACAGTTTTTTCTTTCAGGTGCCTCACCTTGGATGCGAGCAAGCCGCTTGCCAAATTAAATCTGCAGTGGACATGGTTTCCCACTCCATGCTGGCCTTTTATTTTATTAAATATATTTTTATTGATGTCAGAGAGGGAGAGAATCATTGATCAGCTGCTTCCTGCACGCCCCCTACTGGGGATCGAGCCCAATCCCTGGGCATGTGCCTTTGACCTAAATTGAACCCAGGACCCTTCAGTCCACACACTGATGATGCTCTATCTACTAGGCCAAACCAGCCAGGGCCAGAATTTTCTTAAAAACCACATGAGGTCAGCCCTAGTGGATAGAGCATCAGACCTCGGACTGAAGGGTGCTGGGTTCAATTCAGGTCAAGAGCTCATACCTTGGTTGCAGGCTCCATCCCCCCACCCTGGTCAGGGCACATGCAGGAAGCAACCAATTGATGTGTCTCTCTCACTGATGTTTCTCTCTCTCTCCTCCCCTCCCTTCCACTCTGTAAAATTTAATGGAAAATTATCCTCAGGTGAGGATTAACAAACAAACAAAAACAAAAAAACACCCACAGCTGAGGTCGACGATAACAGTCACGCACGGGTTCCTGGGGCTCCGGCTGCAAGTCAGACCTGAGCTCCGATCCCCAGCCTCCGGGAAAGGCCGCTGGGATTGCTCCCGGGGGTCTCAGCCAGGCCTCTCGGATTTTCCCATCAACGTGTTTAAACCTGGGCACGTGCCCTTCCTTGGGGTCAAAGTGGCAGGGGATGGTGCTCAACCAACCGTCACGCCAGCCGGACAAGGCTTGTTTTTCTCGATCCCTTTCCGGATGGTTACAACACGTCTCCGATGCTCAGCACGTCTTCACAGACGAGCAAGTGAACTGGCTGACGCAGACCAGGAGCCCCGGCTGGTGGTCGGAATGTCCACGTCAGACCCTTCGGCAAGTCTGTGAGGCTCCTGGGGCACCACGGGGTTTCTGGTGATGGCTGGCTGTTCAGCGCCAGTGCAGGGAGTGTAGGAAACCGCAGGCCGGTGGGGACCCTCGGAAGGGTGACTTTAAGTTCGGAGAACGGCACCTGAGGCTGGAGTCGAGGGAGCAGGGAGAGGAGGGTCTGTTTCCAGGCCCCTCGCCCCCTTTAAAAGCTCAACTGCCAGTTTCAGCGCCCTTATTGTCCACTTCGCTTTTAAGAAAGTCAGTCGGGCTCCGGCCGATGTGGCTCAGGTGGTTGGAGGTTGTCCTGAGTGCTGGACAGGTCCCATTCACAGTCAGGGCACATGTCCAGGTGTGGGTTCCGTCCCCAGTTGGGGAAGCAGCCAATTGATGTTTCTCTGCCGGAGGCTGGTCCATCCTTGCTGCTTGACACAGTCGCTGCAGGGAAGAAACATCTGCACAGTGTATGTTTCAAGGGACCTGGCGTACATGGCATACTGTTCTTAACATGTTTGCTCCCCTTCTTAGAACTATGTGTTTTAACAAAGGTCACATCTCCAAGAAAGGTTGTTTCCCAAGGGATAGGGTTAAAATCAACTGGTATAAATACAGATGTAACAGGACAATAAAGAGAGAAGTTGGCTATGCTGGACATCTGAACGCTGTCTCCCTGTCATTCCCTCTTCGCCGACTCCGTCCACACCTTTGGGAACCCCTGGACCTGCTGGGGCTGGACCCCAACATTTCTCTCCCCCACCCCCTCTTTGTAGAATCAATTAAAGAAAAAAAAAGTTTGGGAATCTCCAAGGTTCCCCTCAGTGGCCACTGCATTCTGAATTGCTTTAGGGTTAGATCTGTCCGTTTAGTGAAACATGCCCCTGAAGCGTGGCCTCATCTTTCAAACCTGAGTTCCTGGAGGAGGGGCGGCCTTAAAATACTTAAATAACTGAGACCCCACTTTTCGGAGACTTCTCTAGAGCGAGGGCCAAAGGTCAGATTCTAGGCGGCCTGGTCCCGGGTGGGGGGTGGAAGGTTGGGGGGGCGCAGGCCCAAGGCAGAGCAGCCCGTGCGGAGGCAGGGTCCGGGGAGTCGGGGCAACCGCTGGACGCTTTTAGCAACACAGTCCGGCCGGGGGCCGAAACAAAGGCTCGCGGGGTTCAGCACGGACGCCCCCTATTCCCAAAGCTCGGGCCAAGGCTACCCGTCTCCCAACAGCCTGACACCCAAGGCAACGGGGTGACTGTGGGATCGAGCGATCGGGGCAGACAGACCACCGGTTCCGGAGGGGAGCCCGGGAGCCCCGACACAGCGGGAGCGGGGGCCCCCGGGAGGCCCGAGCTCCCGCGCCGGTGGGACGGACCGGAAGCGGATGTTGGGGAAGAGCTGGGGCGACACTGAGCTGACGCGCCCATACGGCTATCCCGTTGACGCCACCCGCGAGCTCCTCCCACGGGCCCTCCTGATTCCGTCTAGGTCTCTGCGCTTAATGAGATCCTTTCTCCGCGTCCCGAGGCCGCTGTGAGGGCGGCGACAGGAC